CCATCTCTCCCGGCCAGCCCCACTCCCCCAAATCCCCTCCCAGCCAGACTCGCTCCCCTCCCGGCCAGTCTCCTCCATCCCCGATCTGAGATCAAATGTGTCCGGTATTTTTTTCAAGCCATTTGGTAACCCTATTTGCATCATCACATGGTGAAGTTGTATTGCTAATATGTGGCTAGTCTTCTATAAATCCTTGCCTCAAAGGACCCAACAGTGCTTTTCAAACACCATTTTGCACAACGCCCTCATGAGATGAGAAATGGGCAAATGCACAGCAATGTTTCAACTTAAACTGTCTATTCATTGTGGAAGGACTGGTTTTCAGAGGGGAGGAGTATGCACTGCAGCACTAGATAACCAGCACTACTAAAAATCAGGCCCGGAACATCCCAAGCTAGATATACAAAAAAGACACACAGAATTAGTGGACTCTTTTGGAGACTTTGGCCGAGGTGACTTGCCTACAGTTAAAGCAAGACAGAGTTAGGAGTAGAGTACAGAAGTCCCAATCTTACCTGCACTTGAACCAATTTAATCCTGCAACCTTGGGAAGAAGGATATGATGAATTAAAGATTTTTCCAGGCCAGGGAGGGTTCCGCGGGGTCTGGGCATGACGGTGTTAGGGTGGGGCACTTACTTGCTCTCCAGCTCCTGGAAGCACACGTGTATCTGCACTCCCCGCTGCTCTGAGGCACTCCCCACTGTCACTATGGGAGCGGTGAGGAAAAGCCTTATGGGAAGTGGCTCTGCACACTGCCATTCCCTCAGTCTGGGGAGAAGGTGAGCAGCAGTGCGCAGAGCCACTTCCTCCTCCATACCACAGGTGTTCCCAGATTAGGGACACCCAGAATATGGAGGTTTAAGTATAACTGGGAGTCATAATTCCTGGCTTCTATTCCTGCTTTTCACTTGACACATGATCTAGGCCTGGGCAATGACAACGTTGCATCCTCATGACAATGTCACAGGCACTGACATAGAAACATAGACTCATAGGTCTGGAAGAGACCTCAGGAGGTCATCAAGCCCAGCCCCCTGCCCAAAGCAGGACCAATCCCAACTAAATCAACCCAACCAGGGCTTTGTCAAACTGAGATTTAAAAACCTCTAGGGATGGAGATTCCACCACCTCTCTAGGAGACCCATTCAGTACTTCACCACCCTCCTTGTGAAATAGTTTTTCCTAATATCCAACCTAGACCTTCCCCACTGTAACTTGAGACCATTGCTCCTAGTTCTGCCATCCGTCACTACTGACGGATCCTTTCATCCTCTTTGGAACCTTCCTTCAGGAAGTTGAAGGCTGCTATCAAATCCCCCTTCACTCTTCTCTTCTGCAGACGAAATAAGCCCAAATCCCTCAGCCTCTCCTCATAGGTCATGTGCTTCAGCCACCTAATTATTTTGGTTATCCTCCGCTGGACCCTCTCTAATGTGTCCACATCCTTTCTATAGTGGTGCCCAGAACTGGATGCAATACTCCAGATGTGGCCTCACCAAAGTTGAATAAAGGGGAATAATCACTTCTCTAGATCTTCTGGCAATGCTCCTTCTAATGCAACCTAATATGCCATTAGCCTTCTTGGCTACAAGGACACACTGTTGACTCATCTCCAGCTTCTCATCCACTGTAATCCCCAGGTCCTTTTCTGCAGAACTGCTACTTAGCCATTCAGTCCCCAGCCGGTAACAATGCTTGGGACTCTTCTGTCCCAAGTGCAGGACTCTGCACTTGTCCTTGCTGAACCTCATCAGCTTTCTTTTGGCCCAATCCTCTAATCTGTCTAGGTCTGTCTAGACCCTATCTCTGCCCTCCAACATATCTACCTCTCCCCCTAGCTTAGGGTCATCCACAAACTTGTTGAGGGTGCAATCTATCCCCTCATCCTGGTCATTAATAAAGATGAACAAAACTGGCCCTAGAACCGACCTTTGGGGCACTTCACTAGAAATTAACTGCCAACCTGACATCGAACCGTTAATCACTACCTGTTGGGCCTGACAGTCTAGCCAGCTTTCTATCCATCTTACAGTCCATTTATCCAATCCATACTTCCTTAACTTGCTGGCAAGAATATTGTGGGAGCAGGTATCAAAAGCTTTCTAAAGTCAAGGTATATCACATCCACTGATTTTCCCATATCCACAGAGCCAATTACCTCATCATAGAAGCTAATCAGATTGGTCAGGCATGACTTGCCCTTGGTGAATCCATGATGAATATTCCTGATCACTTTCCACTCTTCCAAGTGCTTCAGAATGGATTCCTTGAGGATCCCCTCCATGATTTTTCTGGGGACTAAGGTAAAGCTGACTGGTCTGTAGGTCCTTGGATTGTCCTTCTTCTCTTTTTAAAAGATGGGCACTACATTTGCCTTTTTTCAATAATCTGGGATCTCTCCCAATCTCCATGAGTTTTCAAAGATAATTTTTTTTAATGCCCAAAGGCTCTGCAATGACATTTGTCAACTCCCTCAGTATCCTCGGATGCATTAAATCTGGACCCATGAATTTGTGTATGTCTAGCTTTTCTAAACAGTTCTTAACCTGTTCTTTCTCCACCAAGGGCTGCCTACTTCCTTTCCATACTGAGTTGCCTAGTGCAGTAGTCTGGGAGCTGACCCTGTCTGTGAAGACAGAGGTAAAGAAAGCATTGAGTAAGTCAGCTTTTCTCACATAATCTGTCACTAGGTTACCTCCTTCATCCAATAAGGGCCCCACACCCTCTCTGATCACCCTCTTATTGCTAACATGCCTGTTAAAACCTTGCTTGTTACCCTTCACATCCCTTGCTAGCTGCAATTCCAATTGTGCTTTCGCCATCCTGATAACTCCCCTGAATTCTGGAGCAATATATTTATACTCCTCCCTAGTCATCTGTCCAAGTTTCCACTTCTCGTAAGCTTCCTTTTTGTGTTTATGATCACCAAGGATTTCCTCGGTAAGCCAATCTGGTCGCCTACTATATTTGTTTTCTTACTGTTCATTTGGGATGGCTTCTTCCTGTGCCTTTAATAAGGCTTCTTTAAAATACTGCCAGCTCTCCTGGACTCCTTTCCCCTTCATGTTAGACATGATGTTATATGGTCATTACACCTCAGATAAAATTGGAAAGCAGAACATAACATGGATCAATGATAACTGGGATGGTCCCACACATTTCTAAATATGCAACAACCATAAGACCTCTGTGTTACTGCCAATTAGACATGCAAACTTGAAGGTATTATTTCAGCTCTTCTTCCCTTGACAGGATAGTATTAAGAATATACTGCACTAAACAGGACAACACAAGGAAGTCCTTAATGCCACACTCAGAATCGAGAAAGACCTTTCATGATAATCTTTAATCCTTAAACAGCACAACAAGGATTCCCATTTATTACAGACTAACATCTTGGACTCTGACTGCTGCAATGCAGGAGAGAACTTTTCTGTGCTTTATTGCGCACTTACAAATTTTAAACTATTGCCAAATCCTTTGCCAAAATTCTGAATGTTAATCATGTTTATGATTTGGACATAACATTTAAGATCAGATCGAGTATCCTCTTCATATGTTTATGATCAGAATTTTAAATTCAAACAGTGACCATGTGGATTTTAAAAAATCTAATCTGAGATAAATTCCTTCAGAATCTTTTTGCTTGTTTTAACTTGACTAACTCAGACACCTTCATGAATATTTTTTAGACCTCATGAATATTATATTTGTAGAAACATGTAAATCAACACAATGATGCTTGATTAGGTACCTTGAAGTCATAAGTGGCATCAGGATTTTCATCACAGGCAATAACCTCAGGGGCCATCCAATAAGGAGTTCCAATGAAGGTGTTTCTTCTGCCTACTGTTCTGTCGAGCTGAGCGCTAACACCAAAATCCACTGTGTACCAAAAAATACCAAATGATTACAAGTAAGGCCGAGACATAACTGAATGATATTTTTCAGCTGTAACATATGAAGATGAAAAAGAATAAAGTCATATTAAGTTCATAAAGACTGATTATTATTGATTTTCAGAAAACAGATATACTGGGTAAAAGTCATCCCTGACTGAACTTTCCTGACTTCCGTGGAATCCTACAAGGGATGGATTGGCCATTTGATTTCTTTGTATTGCTGGGAACAATGCACATGCTCCTCATTACTGGAGTTGAGTGAAAAGAGATCATGACTTTACCTTTATCTCATGACTAATGGAGATGAGGGTTAGGAACAGAAACAAACCAGAGCCTTCATTCTGTCCTATTCTACATGTGAGGAAAACTCATAACTACTTAAAAGCATCATTTTCTGGAAATGCTGTTCCTGGAAATGGCATAAATACAATAAACATAGGCTATGTCTAGACTGCAAGCCTCTTTCGAAAGATACTTTTGAAAAAGCCTCTTTCGAAAGAGAGCGTCTAGACTGCACGTGGAACTTTCGAAAAAGCGGCTTGCTTTTTCGAAAGAAAGCACCCAGTGAGTCTGGATGCTCTCTTTCGAAGAAGCCCTATTTACATTCAAGAACGCCTTCTTTCGAAAGAGGAACTTTCGAAAGAAGGCGTTCTTCCTTGTGAAATGAGGTTTACCGCCATCGAAAGAAAAGCCGCGTTCTTTCAATTTAATTTCGAAAGAACGCGGCTGCAGTCTAGACGCAGGGGAAGTTTTTTCGAAAAAAGGCTACTTTTTTCGAAAAAAACCCTGAGTCTGGACACAGCCATAGAGAACTAAAG